ACCAGATCTCGAAGACAAGTACAGTCCTGTCTGCCTTCACGCACATGCACGCATTCGGAAAGGCGCAGGGCTAGTTAACAGCATAGCTCAGCTCAATCCCGACACCGCATCACCTCAGCGATCAACACAAACGAGCAGGAAGACATGACAACACACACAATCAGTTGCACAGACGGGATCGTGCTGGATCCTCTGGGCGAAGATAATCTTGACCTCAAACAAATGGTTGCTCAACTTTGTGGATGAGAACAATACTCCACACAGTCTTCAGGTCTATACTGTCTGCTAACATGGTCCTAAAATACACACCGTACATTGTCACGAATAGCATCTTCGGCCACAGCGGGTTCTTGCGTCTGAACAAGTCCAAGGATGTTGAGCTGTACTCGGTCAAGAGCGCGTGCACTAATCGCGCAAGATCTGCGGTGCTGGGAGGCTTCTGAGCATCAGCGGGAGTATAAAACTGTACATGCACATGTACAGACCGAGAACGTTTTTAGAGGACAGAGATGTGAACTCGTTTGAGCAGATCTATACGAACGACAGCGAAGAGGCGGACGCAACGATCATCGACTCGTATGGCTGAAAACATGTGCATACACGCAGTCATGGTCTACTTCTGCTGGCGGTCTCGTTCGTAGTCATCTCATCAACGCGTATGTGTGGTTGGTTGGCTTATGAATCTGATCTTGTTCGTGGCACTTTGTCTGTGCTTAATCACACTTGGGGTCATGAATGTGGTGTTGCTCTCACGCAGATGTGTAAGATCATGATCTTGTTCGTGCTCTTAGCCATGAATATATTCTCCGGCTTCTACATGTGCTTGTACACGGGATTGAACGACCATATGATTATGTACACATTCTTGTTCATGCATTGGACTGAGCTTGATATCGCGAGTGTCCTTCCATCCGTGAGCTTGTAAAAGTCCATCTCCCTCATCATGAGCTCATCCTGATGAATGTGGTTGGGCTTGAGGTCATTCACGCGCGAGGTGCAGGCCGTGATTGTGGTGTCAATGTTGACCATGATCTTGTTCAGCTTCACGTTCATCCTTCAACCAGGGGGAACGGCACATCAGTACACTTGTTTGACATGAACACGGGCTGGTAGTCCTCCATGGACTTGGCGGGGTTCCTCTCCATGATCGAGTCGATGTGGATGAACCCGTCTCTGGAGATGTCGTCAATCGTAGAGTTGGTAATGGAGTGTTCACCCTCTTGCGCTTGTCCAGCCCCTCAATGTAGTTGAACAATACTGTACCTCTGGGTGCCGTCTTGAAGAAGAAGGTCAGCATGCCGCCGTCGTCCGTCAGATACCTCTCTGCTACATGGCGATGTATGTAGAATGTGTCCTTCATTGTGTCGATGTACAGGGTAACCGAAGGCTACCTTGTCACGCATTTGCCTTTTGAACAGCAGCATGGTCCATTCCATCCGCAAGAACCTCGTTCGGATGTCGACAGAGCCCTGGTTCGTGGGCACGACGACAAAGGCGGGCTGGTACATCTACAAGCTCAGGTCCGGGATCTAGAACATAAAGCGCCTCTTGGGCTCCACCATGACGGTGTGGTGAATGAGTACGAAACGTGCCTCAAAGTTCGGGGCCGTGTTGATGCTGGCCACCCAATTGAAGCACCAAACATTTCGTCAAAGCCCTCAGGCACGTCGTACAATCCGTGCGGGGGCATGGTTTTGTTCATGCCTCCTCGATCATCTCTATGTTCCTGTGTGGGTACATGGTCCAAAGTACCAGCTTGTTGGCGAACGTGAGCATGTGTATGTCCTTGTGCATCCTCTCCAATATGTCCAAATAGCGCTTTAAGCCTTTGAGTGATGATCCTGGTCATGGGCGCGTCGAAGTGTGAGCTGATCAATAAGATTGTGAACCCGTCTTCGACAAGCTGTCTGATTGGGTTGAAGTACCGATTGCTGTACGGGAAGGTGTTACTGATCATAAGCGAGTCTACGACGTAGCCTAGCTCTGCGGGCGTGGTGTACGTTAGGATCTCCTCCGCGATCCCAGGATACCGCTCGATCCCGAGTATCGATGCGAGCATATTCGCGGACCTGTTCATAGCTATGCTTAGAGTACAACTTTACATTAGTGTCGCAGCTGGCACGGCAAGCACGTTCATGGTTTTGGCTTGTTCTTCTTGATGTAGATCATCGCGTCCACTTGCTACCTCTCCTTCTTCCGGAAGGACGTGGGACGTGCGGATCTCCATAGGTTTGAACAGTGTTGGATACGTCTTCATTGCGGTGGCCACACATACTAGTCTGTTCTTGGGCTTGTCTAAGGCTCTCTGCTTTTTCTTCTGCCAGCTGTCACCTACGTCCATCCTTATGATCGCGGTGCTGGACGGCCTGACGTTGATCTACAAGCGCGAGCTGCCCCCCAGCTTTAATATCTTGACACTGAACGCGGTCTGGTACTCTGGTTCTAAAATTTATGAGCATGATGATGCTGATGATCGCCCGCATGTCCTCGTAGCAGAGGCTGCATCGCCTTTGAGCACATGCCGCACCCCCTGTTCACGTTGTGACACATCTTCGCTCACGTGTACATCTTTCTTCTTGCGTTGCGCTACGTTATCACCCCCGTGCCCGTGTTTTGAAGACGAATTCGTTCCCATAGCCACACTACATCAGCCTCACAATATCCTTCAGGCTCTCCAAAACGCAGCCTGCTCCTGTTCGCGACCACGTACTCGTGTGGGCCCCGCTGTTGGCAACGCATGCTATCTGCACGACCAGGTGTGCAACCCTGGGCAGCAACAGGTAGAATCTCATGAACGCCTTCCCGTGGTTGAACGCGGCATTGGTGTCGGGTCGTCTCCAGGAGCTCGCAGTCTCGTACATGACTTTGAGTGACTCCATCTTCTCCTACGAGGTGATCTTCCCGCAGTAGGCGTAGTACAAGGTCTGTCTGTGATAATGCATCTCCTCGAGACCGCCAAGTGGAGCAACTTGTTTTCCAAGAACCAAGAGTTCGTTGGAAGCTGGGTTCCTCAGTGGAAAGTCGTCCCTGGTCCGCACGCAGTCGCCTTCGACCACCACCACGGCTGTCGACACGTCGAGGGCCGTGACCTCGTAGTAGTCCGGCGGTAATTCCATGACCATATTTCTAGATGACGCAGATGCAACAAATCTTACGCGACGCATACGTGTACGTGGAGGCGTGCATGGACCCCTCTCAAATATCCGCTTGGCCTTGCTCCCATGCTCTGACTCAAGCATGAGGATGTATGGTGTCACAGAGAAGCTCAGGATCCCAGGAACATGGACATGAGCAAGGTGCTGGGCCTGGGCTTGGTCATCGTCCCAAGCTGGAACGACCCCGAGGATATGACCAGGGATGAGCCCAAGCACGTGAACAACATCTCATTCAGGTTGTCGAAGGAGGGCTTGCGCATGATCATGACTACATACCTGTACTTTCCCTTGTTCGTGGATACCATCGAGCACGTCTACGCGGACAACCCTCGCTCCGTGGTGGCAGTCGTGCCCTGGCTGTCGAACGTGCTGTGGTCCTGTGGAAGACGTCTTTCGGGGAAGAGGTGGCGAGGTCAGTGTCACCATCAGTTTCAAAGGTTCTGGTGGAGGTTTTTCTTGCACTCAGCACAGTATCAGGGTCAACAGCTCCTGCAGTGCCTTTGGTATTGGCCCCTTGCACCTCATGAGGGTTCCCCGAGTCAGGTTTCCCGGGCGTAGTAATTGCGCTGTGAGAGTACATAGCATTCCGTTGATATCTCACAGCCAGTGTAACCATTCTAGAAAAAACATCATCATGGTTGACCGCTACTCCGCTGACTGACATAACCCATAAGTCGATATCGGTTCACTGCCGTACATTTACCACGAAAGCTCTCGCCGCGTTGTGTATCTTCGGGACGTCATAAGAATCCCGTACCATCGCCGAAAACCTGGAGCTTCAAAGACTACAAGGAGGGAAACCCGTGAATTGGAACTGGCGCTACTTCTGTGGCTCGAGACGAATGATAAAAAAAGCAGCCGAACGCGGAGGGGAAAAAACAAGATAGGCCCGAGCCGCGGATCGAACGCGGGACCTCTCGCAGATATGCTTGGGTTAATCCCTAAGCGAGAATCATACCACTAGACCACCCGGGCGATGATTGGTTGAATTGCGATATCTTTAACTTATAGGGCAGAGGATAATGAAAGTGACGGAAGGATCATGAGTCAGGACTAACTAACTTATTGGAGCCACAAATCTCAACACTGGACGTAACAAAATGTATTATTACAGCCATGATTGGATCCAAGACACTTTTAATCCAGAAAAATAACCCATATGTGCTACTCCAGTACTCCTGCGTGAATTGTACTCTGAAACCTATGGCACATCCGGTTATGCGGATCGCAAATCAATCGAGGAGTTCTCTACGAGTGCGAATCATCTGAAGCATGCGTACCCTGCGGCTATTTGTGATTCGAACGGTGTCTCACATGCGAAGACAATGTGCTGCCGCTGCTTTGATCTCCAAGGTGCTGAAATGACATTGCGAGGTGCGACAGCACCAGTATTCGAATCAAATCATGGCCAGCAACTATCCGTACTGGGTTCACATCCACGAGCTGGTTGGTAACTGTTTCGGTGGCCGCCTGGGTCTTTCTCACCTTTCCACGGTTGCGTTGACTTTTGACGATGGTACAGTAGAATCGATCCATTTACGGGTAACATGCCCACGTTGTGACGTTGTTGATTCTGCGCATTGCAGGATATATATGTAATCTCCAAGCGACACCAATGCATTGTGCGAAACCAAGCGGTATTTCTATCATCTGTTCAAGTCTTAGCTGTGTCGAGCGTCAACCCAACATCCAGCACGAGGGGTGTTCCAGTCACTGGTGGACTGCGCGGCAATATTGCAGCTGATCTGCGGTCAAAACATGAGGGCCGCAAAGTCCCTCTTCCTCGATTGATCCGGCGGGTTATGTGGATGATTGATCTACTTCCCACCCTCGAAACCCCCAAGTATGTCGCTGTATGACACGGTCCAGGTGCATATGATTGAGCATCATTTCATCGCACTTCCAGCCGAGCACGGATATGCACCTGTTGCTAAGGTTTTGCTTACAATGGGTGCCAATGCCGATATTCCCTTCGTGATGAGACCCCCAGTCCACGCCAGTCTGAGCCATGCTGATAAAGGAGACCTTTGCCATGGTCAAACTGGCTCGCTCGCGCGGCTCATCTCTCTCGCCGGATTCTACCTTAATC